ATGGTATCGACATTGCTTGCACAAACTAAATACTGGTGGCAGAGGACTAGATATTAAGAAAGGAAGACTAGATACTACTATCAGAAGATGTTATGGTCACTCTAATTTGAACTGCATCATATTCCTTGGCATTTCTAAAATAGGAAGTATGAAAAATAATATTTTTGCCACTTTTTATTTCATTAAAACTTCACTTTTTCTTGAATTTTAGTAAATTTCGAGTTGAGCAGAATTTATGGTCACTCTAGTTTGAACTGTAACATGTTCCTCATGACCTCTAAAATAGCAAGTATGAACAAAAAAATTCATTTACTGTTTTCTATTTCTTTGCAACACTAGTTTTTCTTAAATTCTAGCATTCAGAAACCAGAAATAAGTTCGAAGTGTTCAAAATATAGAATAACTTGGTGCGGAATAACAACTAAAACTAGAATTAGCTTAACATAATCACTAGAACTAACATTAAGCCTAGAACTAGAAATATTTAGGTTTCTCGAATGTTTTTAGTTCTAGGTTTAGTGTCTGTTCTAGTTTTAGTTCCATAAAAATATACAACAATCTAACGCTGAATAATAATTAAAACTAGAACTAGAAAGTTTCGGGTTTAGCCGTGCGTCTTCAGACGTGGTAATAGAAGATTTGGCACCGCTTGTAGATATTTGCAGAATACTTGAAAAAGACAACCTGCTGATTGTACAAACTAGATACTGGTGGCAGAGGACTAGATATTGAGAAAGGAAGACTAGATACTACTATCACAAGATGTTATGGTCATTCTAGTTTGAACTGCATCATATTCCTTGGCATTTCTAAAATAGGAAGTATGAAAAATAATATTTTGGCCACTTTTTATTTCATTAAAACTTCATTTTTTCTTGAATTTTAGTAAATTTCGAGTTGAGCAGAAATTATGGTCACGCTAGTTTGAACTGTAACATGTTCCTCATGACCTCTAAAACAGCAAGTATGAACAAAAAAATTCATTTACTGTTTTCTATTTCTTTGCAACACTAGTTTTTCTTAAATTCTACCATTCATAAACCAAAAGTAAGTTCGAAGTGTTCAAAATATAGAATAACTTGGTGCGGAATAACAGCTAAAACTAGAATTAGCTTAACATAATCACTAGAACTAACATTAAACCTAGAACTAGAAATATTTAGGTTTCTCGAATGTTTTTAGTTCTAGGTTTAGTGTTTGTTCTAGTTTTAGTTCCATAAAAATATACAACAATCTAACGCTGAATAACAATTAAAACTAGAACTAGAAAGTTTCGGGTTTAGCCGTGCGTCTTCAGACGTGGTAATACAAGATTTGGCACCGCTTGTAGATAATTGCAGAAGACTTGAAAAAGACAACCTGCTGATTGCACAAACTAGATACTGGTGGCAGAGGAGTAGATATTAAGAAGAGAAGACTAGATACTACTATCAGAAGATGTTATGGTCACTCTAATTTGAACTCCATCATATTCCTTGGCATTTCTAAAATAGGAAGTATGAAAAATAATATTTTTGCCACTTTTTGTTTCATTAAAACTTCACTTTTTCGTGAATTTTAGTAAATTTCGAGTTGAGCAGAAATTATGGTCACGCTAGTTTGAACTGTAACATGTTCCTCATGACCTCTAAAATAGCAAGTATGAACAAAAAAATTCATTTACTGTTTTCTATTTCTTTGCAATACTAGTTTTTCTTCAATTCTAGCATTCAGAAACCAGAAATAAGTTCGAAGTGTTCAAAATATAGAATAACTTGGTGCGGAATAACAGCAAAAACTAGAATTAGCTTAATATGATCACTAGAACTAACATTAAACCTAGAACTAGAAATATTTAGGTTTCTCGAACGTTTTTAGTTCTAGGTTTAGTATTTGTTCTAGTTTTAGTCCCAAAAAATATACAACAATCTAACGCTGAATAACAATTAAAACTAGAACTAGAAAGTTTCGGGTTTAGCCGTGCGTCTTCAGACGTAGTAATAGAAGATTTGGCACCGCTTGTAGATAATTGCAGAAGACTTGAAAAAGACAACCTGCTGATTGCACAAACTAGATACTGGTGGCAGAGGAGTAGATATTAAGAAAGGAAGACTAGATACTACTATCAGAAGATGTTATGGTCACTCTAATTTGAACTCTTGGCAATTCTAAAATAGGAAGTATGAAAAATAATATTTTTGTCACTTCTTATTTCATTAAAACTTCACTTTTTCTTGAATTTTAGTAAATTTCAAGTTGAGCAGAATTTATGATCACTCTAGTTTGAACTGTAACATGGTCCTCATGACCTCTAAAATAGCAAGTATGAACAAAAAAATTCATTTACTGTTTTCTATTTCTTTGCAACATTAGTTTTTCTTAAATTCTAGCATTCAGAAACCAGAAATAAGTTCGAAGTGTTCAAAATATAGAATAACTTGGTGCGGAATAACAGCTAAAACTAG